TGACTAAGGATTTTAGAATCGATCGTCCTGGCCGATCTTTAGATCGTCCAGGACGATAGGTTCGTATCAATCAACCTTAATTACCCCCTTGATTGTCTGATCAATTAAGGCATAATTGTGAATATCGTCCAGGCTGATCCAAGATTGTCCTGGCCGATTATCAAAAATACAGAATACCTTAATTGTTTATGGCGGCAATATCTTTCTGTTTTGAGCCTATCGTCCTGGCCGATACAAGTATCGTCCAGGCCGATTGGCTAATGACGGCTGTCTTAATTAAGAACCCTTGATTAGATTCTCTGTTTTAAGCCAGATCATCCAGGACGATGTAAATATCATCCTGGCCGATATGAGCAAAAAACAGAAATTCTAAGTATCTCAAGTGTGTGTGTGTGGGGTTACTTTGCATCAGTCACATCAAAGATTACAATTGACTCAAGAAGGGAAAAAATAAAATTACAGACTGACTCAACCCTAATCTACCTAGTCTTGAGCTAATTCTGATTTTCGTCCGATCTTTGAGTCCTAAAAAGTTAGTAGAAAAAAGGCAGTCGTAGTGAAACAATATTTGTTTGCAATCATCAAAGTCATAATCTAAAAACATGTTTGTAACAATCTCCCCCTTTTTGATGATAACAAACATATCGATAATCAATTCTAAAACAGTAATGCAAAACTAACCAAGCTTTCAATTTTTCGAACAGAAACAAGTACAAACATACTATAAGAGCAAGTACAAACACACTACTCCTTTTGACATCTCAAAAAGGAGGAGGAAACTAAAAACAAAAACTAAAGCAATGAAAAAACCAACGTTTTGAAAACCGGACCGGACATTGAACCGGAAGAAAGAGAGGTTCACGGTTCGACCGGTTGAACCGGGGTCGAACCGGATGACGTAATAAATAATAATATTATTAAAAAATTAATAAGATTGATAAAATAATGAAATATAATAATCATATAATTTCCTATAAATTATTGTTAATTTATATTACATAGTGTAAGTTATTTAAAAACTTAAAACTCTCAATATAAAATCATAAATATAATTAAATATTTTATTATAAAAATATTTTATTTTGTAAAATAAAAATTTTTAGAGTTGAAAAATTGAAATTTTACAAATTTTTTAACATAAGAGTAATTCATTTGATAAAAAATAATTGTTATTAACTAAAAAAATAAAATAAATATTTTACAAAAAGATTTAAAAAATAAATATTATTCAAATCATGAAAATTAATTTTTATATTATAATTTTTACTTGAGCCGCTTAACGAACAAAAATAAATTCACATAAACTTCATAATATATATAATAAAATATATTTAAAATATAAAAATTAAACATAAATAAATAAAAAATAAATATTATCTACTTAAAAAAATAAATATCATTCATATTATAAAAATTAATTAAAAAATTTGTTAAAAAAAACTATATTGTATAGTGTATATAAGTATATAACTATACATGAAACTAAAAATGAGTTTTGGCTTTGAGGTTTAGTCCCACATCCCTTGGAAGTGACACTTTGTATTGTTTATATACCTCTTTGCTTTCACACAAGCCATCAGCTAATTTGGGTAATGAAGGCATACGGTTAAAATAAACTGTTGAAACATGCCTTAAACACATATTTAAAGTTTTATATTAACATTTATATATATTTAACACTAAATAATTTATTAATATTAAAAAAATTTGAACCGGCCGGTTTTAAAAAACCCGGACCGGTTTGCCGGTTCACTGGTTGAACCGGCGGTTTTTGCCAAAACCGGCCGGTTCGAAGTGTTGATGCTCTTGTGCAACAATTTAAGCATCGAAACGGGTCTCCCAACGATCAAATCTCTCCACTAACTGGTCAAACTATGAGTGCTGGCGAAGAGGAGCAGGATCAGGAACGGGAGCGGGAGCCTCCTCCTCCTCGGCCCCCTGAAGTTCCCCATCCCCTGGGTGGAGACGAGTACTGTGAAGGATATTGAAAGAGCTGTTTGAGTAGCAAGGAGGCTGAAGGTCGTGACAAGCAGGATATTGAAGATTGTATTTGGTTTCAAGAATATAGGCTATGAGATGTCCTAAAGCAAGGTTGGGTTTCCTCCTATGGCCTGGATCGCGAATAGTTGTTAAATGATCAATGTATCGAAAGATTAGATCAGTAGCATTAAATTCTCTCCGGGCCATGATGAAAAAGGTAGTCAGAGAAAGCAGAGGAGTGATGTGGACTCGGTCCCCGGCTTTTGGAATAATGGAGGTGCGAAGGACATGCTGAATTGTCCTAGCATCTTTGACTAAAGAGCTAGTCTCTCCAACATGAAAGGGTGTGTTGGTCTGGCGAAGAAAATGGTTTGTCGTGGACCAGTCAAAATCAGGATCTGAGACGATTATATGCAGCTTATCCCCGGTGGTGGATAGCTGCAAAAGTTCAGCACAGTCCTGATATGTGATCTCGACCGGGCGTCGATTCACATAGGAGGTCAGGGCTGTGAAAGTAGAATTTATGCGCAGGTTTGCCTAAAATTCTAACATAAGTTCTGAAGAAAAAGGGACAGCGAGGGTAAGAATGAAACAGAGAGAAGTGTGAGCAAAGAGATCCATTACCAGATATGAAAGGTTGACATGATTGATGGTTCTGGAAAGGGTGATGCCACATTCTTTATACCGACGGTAGGCTGCTTGATCCTCCACTTCCCTGAATCGAGGGTCCAGAGTGGCCCTCGAGGAACTTCCAAAAGCCTAACGGACTCGCTTCCAGAAACCCTTGTGAATCCCCTCACAAGCTCCCCCTCACAAGATCCTCTCTCTTTCCCTCTCTCTTTCTCTCCTTTAGGTTTTCTCAGGTCAAGACAGCAGCCAAGGATGTTCAAAAACGTTGAACAAGAGCTCTTAAATAGAAGAGCTTCAAAGGAGCTCATTAATTGCAAGTTGCCAACTATATCGTCCAGGACGATATGGAAATCGTCCTGCGATTAGTATAAATCTCAGAAGATCGGCCAGAGCATCGCCCTGAATGCAAATTAGACGATTGAAAATTGGCTTGATCGTCCTGGCCGATCAGTTCAAATCAGAGGAAAATCGTCCAGAGCATCGCCCTGAATTCAAGCTGTCCGATCCAGATCGTCCAGCACATCGCCCTGAATTTGTTCCGGCCGATATTTATCGTCCATAAGTGACTAAGGATTTTAGAATTGATCGTCCTGGCCGATCTTTAGATCGTCCAGGACGATAGGATCGTATCAATCATCCTTAATTACCCCCTTGATTGTCTGATCAATTAAGACATAATTGTGAATATCGTCCAGGTCGATCCAAGATCGTCTTGGCCGATTATAAAAAATACAGAATACCTTAATTGTTTATGGCGACAATATCTTTCTGTTTTGAGCCTATCGTCATGGCCGATACAAGTATCGTCCAGGCCGATTGGCTAATGACGGTTGCCTTAATTAAGAATCCCTGATTAGATTCTCTATTTTAAGCCAGATCGTTCAGGACGATGTAAATATCGTCCTGGCCGATATGAGCAAAAAAAAAGAAATTCTAAGTCTCTCAAGTGTGTGTGTGAGGGGTTACTTTGCATCAGTCACACCAAATATTACAATTGACTCAAGAAGGGAAAAAATAAAATTACAGACTGACTCAACCTTAATCTACCCAGTCTTGAGCTGATTCTGATTTCCGTCCGATCTTTGAGTCCTGAAAAGTCAGTAGAAAAAAGGCAGTCGTAGTAAAACAAGATTTGTTTGCTATCATCAAAATCATAATCTAAAAACATGATTGTAACAATAACTACCGGACAACTCCCCTTGGCCTATTGGTTGAGAGCTTAGGCTTCCAACTAAGAGGTCCAAGGTTCAAGTCCATGTGTATGCATTGTGTGTGTGAGTTTGCCTTAAATGGCCTAAATGTCCCAAAAAAAAAAAAAACAATAACTACCGGAACACGCCTTATAGGCACCAGAATATTCCCTGACACTAACACAATCTCAAAGGATTATGGCCCCTTATAGCTCCCACCAGTTATAATTTAATCACATATGCTCATATATCATCACATTATAACAATTGAACATATGTCAAAATTGTACATTTTTCTATAACGGTAGGTAACATAAAATAGTACAAGACAAAATGCACATTTTCATAAAATAACTATATTATTATGGATTGTGTAAAATAATATTTTAAGACTTTTATCATATTTTAGCACTTTTTTTAATTTTGATGTAGTTGCGCGTCTTTTGAAACTAAGATTTTAAAAATGCATTTATTATTCATTCCATACAACATTCTTTGACGTCACTCTTACACATTCATTGCACTAATCAGAGCACATTTGAACTTTTGATTTGAGAATGGTGTACTTTCTCGTGTAATTTTTAGTGTATGTGTATTGTGTAATTGCATAAATTTTAGTACATCTTATGATGCATGTGTGATATTCGGTGCACAGGATGTATTTGCACATTTCTCGAGATAATTTTGATAGAGTTTAAAGTTTATCTTGTGATACGTGCACATGCATTTTAAATATTCAAATTTGATTATTTTGCTAGCCTTCACAATCCTTGTACGAATTTTGTAAATTTTGATTGTTGCATTTATATTTTACAATTTTAGGAATTTTAATAATCGCTTTACTTGTAGCATTTAGCGTGCCACTAATAGGATTCATCAATTGTGTCGCAAATACTCCTTACGAGCTTCCTCCTACTACGCTAAGAAAAACATATGCGGGCCTCTACTCTCTATGCGGAGCGTATAGCTAACTAGTCCACTCATAGCGTTGCGAACATCGCCGACATGCTTTCTCCTACCATTCTAAGAAAACATATATAGGCCTCCACTCGTTGCAGGTTCTTAGCTTTAGTGGCATTATATATGCACGCACGAATGAGGCAAGATGCAACGATTGAGCGAGGACACATGCAAGCACACATATTTTTTCTTTTTAATACCATCTAAAAAGCTAACATCGATATCTGAATTTTGGAACAGGAGCTCCTATTGCAGGATCTGCGGTGGATAAAATAGAGCAAGTAGTGGGCTATGTTAGCTTGGGTTACCCCTTTGGCTGGACCGCATCAATCCTCTTTGGAAGACACCATGAATCCATTCTCCGATCTCAAAAACCCAAACTATTCATAATGGGCACCAAGGATGGATTCACAACTGTAAAACAACTCAAAAACAAGTTGAAATCGGCTGCCGGCCGTGTCGAAACCCATCTGCTCGAAGGAGTCGGACATTTCCAAATGGAAGGTCCTGCTTATGATGCCCAGATGGTTGATCTCATCATCAAATTCATTCAGTCATTGCAATCATAGTTTTATGAATTAAAACACCAATATGTGAGCAGTTGTAATATTAGATGAATGATGTTATGAACATCCGAATTTATTTGAAATAGGCATCAGAATTGATGCTTGAATGTGATATATGAATCTGGCTGCTTTGTTTTGTCTTGATAAAGTGCTGCAAAACTATTAAAATCTGAGAGGGAGGATACCAAAACAGTATTAATTCTTGTTACAATATCTAGGGTTATGAAAAGAATCTCCTTATGTTTGGCATGTAAAAGTAGTCAGAAAATATGTTGAATGATTTCATTATATTTAGCTCATTATTTATTTATTATCAATTGTTCAAAAAATGGCTCTTATTTTGCTTGACCTCTAACATGCCCAACACAAATTGATCAGACTTGTCAACCTGGTTTTGATCAGGCACAATAATTTGTGTTCAGGTTGACTCATTTAATAAATGGATTGAATTAAGGTAGACTTCTGAACTCATTTTTTACTTAAACATGACCTGTTTATTTTTTTGCCTATGGGTTTATTTTTATTATTTTTTATCAAATATCATAAATTTAAAATTCATCAAAATTTTACTATTTCATTCCTTTTTCATTGTTCAAAAAACCAAAAAATTTAAAACCCTGTCATTAAATATTTTATACACGCTTTTCATCAACCCAACAACACCACTATAAATTTATTTATTTTTTAAAATGTGATCCTTAATTTCAATTAAATAAATGTGCCTTATTAAGCATCTTTTGTTCTTAGTTGAATATTGGTCCAGACAAGTTTTGTCATAGCGATGCATACTGATACAACCTTCCAACTTCTTCCACTTGATATTCTAAATCAAATAAATAAAATCAATTTTAAGGAAATTTAGAAAATTATTGAATTTTTAACAAATATACATCTTTTGGGAACTGCACGCTCAACCCTTGATTTATTATTCTATGCGAAGTTCGGATGGCGTCCGGAAATCAATAAAAATGCGTCACGTCATCTCAAAAAATGTATCGTACTCGGTATCGAGCTCAATACCTAAGCATAACCGAACAGGAGAATCGTCCGATGTTTGGACTGCCATTTCCCACTGACTATGATCTTTTCAACTTCCATCGTCCATTAACTATGGTTCCTCCGATCACCGTTGCTTGCCAGCTACGATCCCTCTGACCTTCATCGCCATAGTACGGTCCTATAAACTAAATGAGCAAACTAACATTCTCTTGAGATCAGCTTTCATATTTTTGGATTCTTACAACCCCAACTTTATAATGTGCTATATAGTTTTTAGATTGAGCAAACACCTACCCCTTAGAAAGCGCATCATTTGTTATAAACAATAAAGACTATTGGATTCATTTCAACTAGGTCAAGTTCCGTGGTTTTCCGCCTTTAAGGGTTTTCCATGTAAAAATTGTTGTGTCATTTTTTATTGGTGCACACCTCTCTTTGTATATGTATGTGTGCTAGATCTTCGTACAAAGCTAAGACTCTTTAAACCTTATATCTCTCTATTGTCATGAATGTTCTTGGACACAACAAGGTTGATGAGATTGACAATAAACGATAGCTTGTGAAGGGTGATGAGACAACAATGAAGGGCAAAGGGCACGAGATAAAATCGATTATTGTCAAAATGTGTTTTTGGGTTGGATTCTGGTCTAACAAAAAACCGACCCCTCGACTGCTCCAATCCAAACCCAACTAAATTACACAAATGAGTCATAAATCTGAACTCGGACCTAACCCGTCATAAATTCAGGTCAAACTGACCCAACATGCGGACCTGGGTAAGTGCAGAGCGCGAGTTGAGAGTGCTTGGGTGGTAGATGACTGTGCGGTCACACCTAATGTATGCGGGAGCAATGGGGGCTATAGCAGACACAGTGTGAACGTATGGTCACCCGAGTCGAAGTTTGGAGCGGACACAGTGCGATCAAGTGAGTGGGAGCTGGGCAGTCACATAATTCGGCAGGTCATTTTTGGGTTGGTGGGTTGACTTGGACCCGACCCAATTTTTCAAATGGATCGAAAATTAGAAATCAAATCCAACCCATTTGTTAAACGGGTCAACTTGAAATTATTATTATTATTATTTTTATCTGATCATAAATTGACACCCTTAATGATCTTATGAGATGGCTAAGGGACATGTTATATATATATATATATATATATATTAAAATTTAGATGTAGTGCTATGTACGTAAATACCCTTTTCAGGGGCCGCGAAGACGGAGACCGCTGACTTTGAAAGTTAAAAAAAAAACAATCTTATATAACTTCGTAGCCCAAAGCCCGAGACCGGCAGACTTCCAAGTTCCAACAGAATCCCTGCTTTAAAACTTTCTACAAAAAATTAGTTTCCTACTCCCTCAAGAAACCCATGGCAACGGAGTCAGTCTCTCGGTCTCCCGACTCCATCAAGCCATGGCTAAGCCTAAAAGGCAAAGTTGTGCTTATCACCGGCGCTTCCTCCGGCATTGGTCGCGAGGTTTGTCTTGATCTCGCCAAAGCAGGCTGCGTCGTTATTGCCGCCGCACGAAGAGTTGACCGCCTCAAATCTCTCTGCGACGAGATCAACGGATGGGGATCCTCGGTCTCCGTTTCCTCACCGTCGATCAGAGCCGTGGCCGTGGAGCTGGATGTGAGCGGAAAGGGGGCGGAGATTGAGGCGGGTGTGCAGAGGGCGTGGAATGCGTTTGGAAGGATTGATGCGCTGCTGAATAACGCTGGGGTTAGAGGTAATTCTAGTGATTTCTAATATAATGAAGGCTTTATGTCAGTTTAGGTCATGAAGGCAGAAATATGTTCTTCAATGGGATGCAGCTTTGGAGACTGCAGGAATTTAAGTAGGAGAAAGGAAATTGTTTTTTTGTTTGGAGAAAAGATATTATTATTATTATTGGGAATTCTAAGAAAGAGACTACACAAATTTTCACTTATTTTTTCAAGGGATTTCCATGCATGCGGCAGAAGTCTTATACATTCATATATTTAATATCTAAATTATCATATTAATTTATATATTATTTTACTATCTAAATGAAATTAAAATATATGCATAACATATATATTTATTTTAAATTAATTAATAGCAATGATTGTTGCGTCCTGAAATATTCACAGCTATAGAGAAATATAAAGTTTAAAATCTTAGTTTTGTATGAAGATCTAACACATAATCAAATTAAAGAGAAGAGTGTAGCGTTCATAGGTGACACCAAATTTTTTATGTGAAAACCTTAAAAAAGGAGGAAAAGCCAAGGGCTTGGTCCAATTTGAATGAATTCACTAGTGTTTGTAGTCGATTATAAATGAGGCACTTCCTTGGGGGCAGGCCTTGGTTTGATGTAATATGCGTCATATATAGTGCATTACATGGTGGGAATTGGAAGAATCAATATTGCCATGTTTGTTTGGTTGGCAGGATTATAATCGGCGGGCGACGGTGGTCGGAAAGACCATAGTTAATTGACGGTGGTCGAAAGGACTGTAGTTAGCAGGCGACGGAGGCCGGAAAGACTGTTATTAGACGACGGAGATCAGAAAGACCATAGTCAGCGGGCTATGGAGGTCGAGAAGACCACAGTATGGCAACGGAGGTTGGAAGGACTCTAGTTGGCAATCGACGGAGGTCAGAAGGATCTTTATCTAGCGACGGAGGTCGGAAGGACTGTAGTCGGCAAATAACAGAGGTCAGAAATACCATAGTCTGGCGATGGAGGTTGGAAACACCGTAGTCGGCAGAAGATTATGGTCAGAAAGACCGTTGTTAGTGATAGAGGTCAGAATAACCGTAGTCGGCCGGCGACGGTGGTTAGAAAGACCCTAGTCGGACGATGAAGGTCGGAATGACCGTAGTCGGGCGTAGGTGGTTGGAAGGACCATAGTTGGCAGCTACGGAGGTCTAAAAGATCGTAGTTGACGATGGTGGTCGGGACGAAATCCGATGACAATCAGTGGCTGGGTATAAGTTCGACAATAATTGTTGGTCGGGCAAAATTCAACAATAGTTGGTGGTCGAGTGGTGGTTGAGGAAGAACTTGGCGGAAAGACAGATCTCGAATTTTTCTTCCTCTCATCTATTCTTTTTTAACTTGCTTGGTCCCCCCTCAATGAAGAATGATGGGTCAATTTATAGTTTTTTGGAAGTTGCATGGTTAGTAAATATGGAGAATATCAAGAGCATGTTGGAGTGTTTTGAATGGACGGCTGATATTGACTCCCTTAATTATAGATCGTTTATCAAATATTTGAGTGCCTTAATGATGTCAGAATTCAACGATCTTGGGCTCGTTGGATTCGTCTCGTCGAGCCGCTCGATTTGACTATAAGAATCACATTTAGGAATCATTTTGGTCATCCAATTTATAGTATGAATCTTCCAAATGTGCTTCGGATCTTCAATTTGGACTTAGAATTTGGTGTCGTTGGGTTCATCTTTTCGAGACAATTAGTTCGACTATAAGTTTGTTGAAATTGGAGTTCGGATGGTTCCAAATTTAATTTCAAAAGTTTCATACTTAATTTTGCCTTGAGATTCGTGCCCGATCAAGATTAAATTTTGATGATATATCAATGATATTTGTATATGATTTCAAATTTTGAATTTTTATATATAAATAAATGTAAATATTTAGAAGTTAGATAGATATCAGAATTTTATGATACATAGGTAAATCTCTAATCTTTTTTATCGGTAGCTTAAACAAATTATTATTAATGAAAGCATGGGTAATTTGGGTATTACAAAAAGGCGAATTCATTTCTCACCCTATTGGCTCATTTTAACAAAAACTTCTTCATAGAGGAAATTCTATCATTTTTTTTATATCTACTCATTTTGAGCTGCCAATGAAAAATAATTTATTTATCTATTCTCTAAATTTTAACACAATCATAATGTGAGTGTGAAACAATCATAATGTGAGTGTGAAGCACTATATTATATAGGAATAAGAGTCTAACTCGTAAATTTTGATCTTCTTAGCTTTGCCCCAAAGGCATAAGTTCTATAAAAATTTTGGAAGATCCTGTGATTAGATTGTGTTTTCTGGGAAGCAACTATTTTTATTTGCTCCTAGTGATGATGAATGAATACGTCTTTTGCATTCCACCTCAAGAAGTTAGTCAAGTAATTGCATAAAGCTGCAGAGTTTAATTACTCTTTTAAGGTAGATTCTTTTATTATTTTATTTAGTTATATGCAAACAAAGCCTTAAGCGGCACAAAAAAAAAGTGATATCTTTATTGAGAAAACAGACAGATTCCAAATGTTAAAGAATTTTTGAAGTACTGAAACCCTTTGATATAACAAAATTTCAGTTTTATTTTTTAAAAGCAATGTCTTTCATCACAATGGCCATTGATCTTTCATTCATCTAAGGCATTTTGCATTGCATTTAAAGCTCAATTTGATAGAGCTATAGTCTTCATAGTAAGCTTCAAGAGTAGTGTAGTAAATATTATAAAAAAAAAAAGGCATACCGAGTGATTAGGCTTATGCCAATGCATGCAAGATCCCGGATCAGGTTGATTTATACAACTGAACCCATTGTAAAAATTCTATTTCTATGATTTGAATTACTAGATTTTAATGCAACAATGGAGGCAACTAGCCATTTCTTTAGGGCCTCACTCTTAAAATACCAGTCATTCTTCATTATCTTTATTAAATTTTGCTGCCTATTAGGTATTGTTCCTCCATACTTAGCTGTACTATTTCCACCATAATGGTGCAAATAGAAATCTAATAGGAAACACTTGTAGATCTCAAGTGTTTCCTATCAATCTTCGGAAAACAGCGAGAATTCTCCTAAAAAATCCACACAAAACCACAAAACAGTAGATAATTTGTATTATTTGATGAAAGATAAAAGGAAAATACCAAGATACAATTGATCCTCTATTCGAGAGGAGGATCTTTCTCTCCCAAATCTATAGACGCCGCTAGAGCCCAAAGAAATTAAGAGATCTCAAATTTCTGCCAAATTCAAGATGCCATAATCCTAGGAAAACCAACTATTTAATGTATACAATTCAAAAGAACATGTATATAAATAGTTATAAAAAAAATACATACAATTCAAAAGGAAATATCTAAACAATCCCTACATTCAAATTTCCCTCCCAAAACCCTCAAAAATCCCTCCAAAACAGCTCCCTAACCCTTGTGGCTTGCATTCGGTGTGTACAGGAGGCAAACATTTCTGCCTCTGTTCGCGTAAGCCGGTCCCTTCGGACTGGCTAGACCTATCTAACAAAACGTTTCTTTGGTTTTTTTTTTTTTTTTTTTTTTTTTTGTCATTTTATACCGTATTGGGTTGGAATTGTGCAGTCTAGTGCTTGTAAAAAATTATTGGTGGACAGGTAGGCAGGTCATTTTTACCATCTAAACCTGGGCTGTTTGTTTTGGCTCTGTTCTTTCCGGAATGGTTGTTGGTTTCTTTGTACCTTGTTATTTAGAGCTTGAAAAGATTTTATAATTTCCAACTTTCTAAATTAATCGCCAGCTTGCATTACTTTTCTCCAAGATTGCCAGCATATGGCATATTGGCTTTGAAGGTCATGCTATATTTCTTTCTAGTTTTTTATATCCTGTTGTAATTTTTGTGCTCATTTGACTCCTTTGAGATGATTAATGGCATTGTTATTATATGAATTTGTGTAAAACTTCTTTTTATTTTTGGAAATTGACAGCTAAAATATAAATTTGATATCAGCAGGACTCGATCTTAGAAAGTTTAAAACAACTTTTAAGATCTTTATTGACTAAGCTAGTTGGCGCCTATACTTTGAAATAGAACATTGATTGCTACTTTCTTTATGTGTGTTACTACCATTCTTTCCTTGTCTCAGGTAGTGTCAATTCTCCACTAGATTGGACTGAAGATGAATGGCATAGCAATTTGTCAACTAATTTAACTGGCTCATGGCTAGTTTCTAAATATGTCTGCAAACTTATGCGAGATGCTAAAGTTAAGGGATCTGTGATCAGTATATCGTCCATTGCTGGACTTGATCGTGGACAATTACCTGGAGGCTTGGGTTATTCTGCTTCGAAAACAGGTCTTAATGCCATTACCAAGGTAATTCAAATCGATATAAACATCATCAAGTTAGCTTTTCTCTGTGTTGCCTTAAAATTGTTGGGTGTTGTTGTCCATACGTCATATACCTTCTGAAATGTCTAAGAAGATCATCATTTGGTCATGTTGGATAAGTCTAAAATTATGTCTCATCTTATCACAAGGCCTCATTTGGTTACTTGAAGTTAGAAACACTTTCCAAAACATGGTGTAATTTGTTAAATCCATCATTTAATTGGATTGGATATAGGCTTCATTTAGGACTGCTTTTTTATTACTTCTTAGAGCGGCTTTTTAGTACAAAAATTAAAAAATTTATACTAAAAAGTCACTTTAAGAAGCTGTAAGAAAGCCGTCCCAAACGAAGCTGTAGTTAGAGGAAAACATTATTTCAAATTCCACAAATCTCCTCAAATATAAAGATTTACTTTCACATAGACAAGAATTGAAAACGATATCATCGTTTAAAAGACATGTTTTGCCTCCATGAAAGAAATACAAGGAGGTTAAAGATAGATATTAAAACAGGTAGATTTTGTTCTTTTCTTTAACTGTTTTATTGTTATTATTCTCATATTAGTGTTGCTGGTTCTTAAATCAAGTAATAATTCTTTAGCATCTTCATCTTTATATTTCAAGTCCTCCTGTCATTTGCAACAATGTGATTTACTGATTTAACAGTCTTCCCTATCTTTGATTGCAGGTGATGGCATTGGAACTCGGGGCGTTTGGTATACGAGTGAATTCTATAGCACCTGGGTTGTTTAAATCTGAGATAACTGCAGGACTGATGCAAAAAGACTGGCTCCAGAGCGTAATGAAGAAGACGGTACCTTTGAAAATCTATGGAACGGTAGATCCTGCACTAACATCGCTTGTGCGATATTTGATCCATGACTCCTCGGAGTATGTAACTGGCAACATCTTCATAGTCGATGCTGGTGTCACCCTCCCAGGCTTTCCCATCTTCTCCTCTCTTTGAGCTTGTCTTCCATAGCTTTGTGAATTTGTTTCTAGAGATGGAACTGCAGTTTTCTCTATTAATCAAGTTGAGTAATTTTTTTTTTTTTTTTTTAAGATTTGGAGTTCTATTTGACCTTGTGATGACTTTGGATCTGGATGCAAATTGTATGCTTTTGATGGGAAAAACCATGCGTTCAAGAGCAATGATGAATATGAGGATGAAAAATAATTTTTTTTTTTATTGAAAAGAACCCACAGAGGAGTCTGCACGTTATATAAGAAAAAAATTATAAATTTTTAGAGGATTAGAAGCTCTCTAAAAATACAACATTTAAATTAAAACCTAATGAGCCTGAGATCTTATCTATTGCACAATAAAAGGAAAAAACCTGGAAGCCAATAATAGAAAAGAAAACAACCCAAGAAACACAATTAAAAAAGCAGGGCATTCATGATGAACAACACTAGCAGCTTCACCACCACCACCACCAGCTCCAGCCTTCGGCTACTTACAACAAGAACTAATGACTTGAAGTTTCATATTATGCTTTAGACCGTTGATGTGGGCTCATTCCGGGCGGATTGAATCGCTATTGGTGTCATTAGGTTCGTCTCTTCGAGGCATGCAATAAGTTTGTTGAAATCGAGGTTCGTATGATCTTTGTGTTTAGTTTTGGAATCTTTCAATTCAAATATATCTTGAGATTTATGTTTGGTCAAGACGATTTTCGATGACATGTCACTTCTCATGGAATAAAAATTAATTTAATCCATTAAATTTTATATATCTTTTGATCTAAATTGATATACCATTATTTTCACAATATTTTTTATTTGGTAAAAAACCATTTCATAAAATACTTTTCTTTAATAAATTATTCCCAACTAATGTGAAATACTCTATAATTGTATATTTATTTTTGCATCCACATTTGAAACCCCATAAAATTGTTGGCTTTGTAAAGTTATCATTTCGCTGTGTGCGCATTTTATGTTCTTTAGGTAAAGATCACCGCCAAAATAAGATGATATAAGCCCACCAATCATAAATCCAAAAAAGTATGCATACGAATCTCATATTTATCATCAGTAAAAAATTGATTTAAGTTTCATTTGTGATGGCTTTTTTATTGTTTCTAAAAGTAAATTTTTAGTACAAAATTAAATTTTTTTTTACTAAAAAGTTGATTTAATAAGCAGAAACGAAGTCGTTCCAAACAAAATCTTAGGCTTATTTAGGACGGCTTTCTTACTATTTCTTAAAATAAAATTTTAATATAAAATTTAAATTTTTTTACTAAAATACTGATTTAAAAGGAATAAAAAAGTCTTCTTAAATGAAAGTTTAATGATGATGCGTCAACAACATTACCTTTCAGTCCGCCATTTTTGAAAATGTTGAGCAATTTTTGAAAATGATTTGAATACATGAAATAAAATTTATGGAACCAAATACCTTCAGACCATACGACTCTAATGCGGCGAGTTAAAAAGCTTATATATATGAAAAAACAATGACCCATGTTTGTCATTTCAGCCATGGGAAAACATCTTTACCAAGAGTCATTAATTGTTGTATTTTTTTTTAATTGATGTAATATTTGTTATAGCCCTTGAATTCTTATAAATTGTAATAATTTGTATTTTGACCTCTTTTTTTTTTTTTGAGTCATTATAAGTCCAAATCACAAACCATCTCATCTTAGGACAAATATTATTATGTTTTAATTATAATAATTTTTTTGTAAATTTTTTGCACTGATGAAAATTCTTAAGAAATTGACACATTTTAGTATAAGTGGGGATTTTGAAAACGGCAAGTGTCCATTTTGCAAACAGAATTTTATAAATAAAATGGATTATTTCATGAATATTTTTTTATAATTTTTAAAACCTCAAAAGGATTTATATAAAATTTTATAATTAAACATCACATTAAAGCTGTATATATAGATTTATTATTTTGATGATTTATAGAAGACTTTGTTGATTAATTAAAAAGATAAAATATATAATTCTTTCATATTTGTTTCTGAGGTGTGATAGTGAAGATGAATATTTTAAATCTTTTGGCATTTTATTATAGATACTTGAGTTAATAGATCATTATGTATACCATTTCTCCTTTCTTTCTCTCCATTTTTATATAGTTTCTTAGGTCATACTCTTAGAGCTCATTTGCTAGTAAGGTGGCTTCACCCACAGAAACTTAGATCCTATATATATATTTATATAAGAAGTTGGTATATTAAAAGGTTGTGGGCCATTTTTATATGTTTTTTCATGATACATATCTATAAGATAATGTTAAAAAAATACTAATTCGAATGGATAAACATAAAGCTTTTCATGTTTGGAAAGTATACAGATGAGTACTTTAAGTTTGGTTTTCGGAAATTTTTTTAATTGTTTTTTTTAAACAGTTTATAATATCAAAATTTTTAGTTGAAAAAAAATTATATTAAAAATCTATTTTAAAAAAATTAATAAAAAATTTATCCCAAATAAAATCCAAATAAATTTTATTGTTCTTTGATATCTTAGGCTGAAGGGAAGAGGAAGCAATAGGGTTGTAAATTGCAAAATTATATCCATATACATTGTTGCGGATTGAAACATTCACGGCGGTACAAAGATAAAAAGTTTAATATCTTAGCTTTAAACAAATATAATTTCCAAAAAAAAAAAAAAAAAAAATTTAAACAAATATTCAACACACAAAAATAAAGAGAAATGGGTTGGCAGGGCTGTATTTAGGCAATGAAGATTAGAGGGATTGTAATTGATAGGTGACGATAGTCAGATGAACTGTAGTCGGCAAGCGATGATAGTTGAAGGGACCATAGTAAGCAGGCGACAGAGGTCGGAGGAACCGTAGTTTGCAGTTGACGGAGGTCAGAGAGATCTTAATCGACAAGCGATGGCAATCAAAGAGAATTTTGTCGGCGGGCAAGGTAGGTCAGAGGGGTCGTAGTCGGCGGGCAACGGAAGTCGGATGGATTATAGTCGGTGGGCAACGGAGGTCCGAGAGACCATGGTTAGCGGGGGATGTTGGTCGGATGGACCATATTCTGCAGGCAACGGTGGTCGAAGGGATCAAAATCAGCGGGCGATGGGCGATGGAGGTTGGGGGGACCTCAGTAGGCGGATGACAGTGGTTAGATGAGCTATAGGTGATAGGCGACTGAGGTCAAAGGGACCATGATCGGCGGGTGACGGAGGTTAGAGGGGCCATGATCGGCGGGTGACGGAGGTTAGAGGGGCCATGGTCGGCGGGTGACGGAGGTTGGAGGAACCATAGTCGACAGGCGATGGAGGTCAGAGAGGCCGTGGTCAGCGGGCGATGTTGGTCGGATGGACTGTCTGAGAGATTGTAATTGGCAGGCAATAGTGGTCGAAGAAATTTTAATCGGCGGGCAGTGGAGGTCAAAGGGACCATAGTCGACGGATGATGGTGGTTAGAGGGACCGTAGTCTACTAACGATGGAGGTCGGAGGGACCATAGTTGACTGGCGACGGTGGTCCGATGATGGTCGAGTGAAAGTCTGACTGTAGTACTCTACGGTCGAGTGGTAGTCTGGCAGTGGTCAACGACTGGATGGGGAAGTTTGGAGGCGATCGAAGGTCGAGTGGTAGTCCGGCAGCGGTCAGCAGTCAAGCAATGGTTTGGTGAAGGTCAACAGTGGTTCACCGGCGGTGGTGCTACAGATCTTGAAGCCTCTGAGCTCTCTCCAATCTCCAGCCAAAAGATCTCCCCTCATGTAGATATTGGGATATATTTATAAATTTTCATGAGTGTCAAACCCCATAAATATAAAGAAGATCTAGTGCAAGTTCGGAGTGCTTCACCAAATGACTTGTATTGATTCCCTTGATCATAAAGCATTTTTCAAGTGTTTAAGTTTCTTAATGATGTCAAAATTCTGCAATTTTGGGTGTTGTATTCCTCTCGCTAAGCCACTAGATTCGACTATATGCATGCCATATTTGGATATCATTTTGTCATCCAAATAATGCTTTGAACCCTCCAAATGTGTTATGAGCCTCTGATTTGGACTTATTTGGGCTCAGACTGGACCAATTTTGGTGTTGTTGGGTTCATCTCTTCGAAACATTCAATTTGACAATAAGTTTGCTGAAATCAAGATTTAGATGGTCCCAAAATTAATTTTGGAACTTTCCAACTTGAATATGCCTCGAGGTTTGTACATGATCAAGATAATTTTTGGTGACGCGACCCATACATATAAGTATAAAACACCTGTCAAACAAACTTCTGGTTAGTGCAGGCTAATATTTATTTACTTATTTATGCATTACATAGTAAATCAATTTTATTCACTATTTTTCAATTGCACAAATAATTTCAAATCGGAGGTATAAATTCGGCTTCAGTTTAGGTTTGATTGATTGAACGAACAGATTCCAAATGTTAGTGAGTTCGCTTTTATTCATTTGTTGATTCTTCTTACTAGATAAAAAAGAAGATTAATATGAGATCAAATAATGAATCAAATCTTAACTTAGTGACGTATAAAATATATCACAAATTGTACTAATCTCAACATAAATTTAAATATTTTGAACCCCATCATAATTCATAAGTATTTTATATCATGATATTTTAATTTCTAACATAATTTTTTAAAAAGAAGAATTAGGATATTTAAGTTGTTTTATAGCATTATTATTTTATGAATCATTTGTCATTGATTTTATGAATTATTAGTCATTGATTTGAGATTTTTCAATTTAGGTTTTGTTTTGAACAGCTTTTGATCACTGTTTTTTTTTTTTTAATTGTGCTAAAAAGCTTATATAGAAAACAGTAATAAAGTTGTCTCAAACAAAATCTTATTATATTAAGGAGGGGAACTACAAAATACATATTATTATCACAAATTTAGTATACTCAAGTGGTTAAATATGTTGAGCTCAATTTTGGTCCAATTATTTGGATAGGGGCTTGAGTTGGCTCACACATCAAAGCAAGTAAGAAATTCAAAAAAAAAAAATATTTGATTTGTAAAAAAGTAATTACCATCTATTTTATAGAGTATCAAAGTCATATAGACGTATAATTTAATGCAAGTTTGCTTGCATTGGACTACAACTTCATTAGAAAACAAGCAA